AACCTCATCTCTACTAAAAATACAAAAATTAGCCAGGCATGGTGGTGGGTGCCTGTAATCCCAGCTACTCAGGAGGCTGAGGCAGGAGAATCACTTGAACCCAGGAGGCCAAGGTTGTAGTGAGCTGAGATTGTGCCATTGCACTCTAGCCTGCAGGACAGAGACAGACTCTGTCAAAAAAAAAAAAAAAAAATGAATAAGAATAAGAATGAGTGAGGGGGAAAATGTCACACACTTTTAAACAATCAGATCCTAACAAGACTCACTATTGCAAGGATGACACCAAGGGGATGGTACTAAACCATTTATGAGAAATCCATCCCTCCAAACAGGCCCCACCTCCAACATTGGGGATTATATTTCAACATGAGATTTGAAATGACATCTAAACTATATCATTCCACCCCTGGCCCCATGAATCTCATGTCCTTCTCACACTACAAATCATATCTTCCTAATAGTCCCCCAAGGTCTTAACTCATTTTGGCATTAATTCAAAAGTCCCAACTCTCAAGGACAAAGTCCAATCTGGAGATGTTTATTCTACCTATGAGTCTGTAAAATCAAAACAAGCTACTTATTTCCAAGATATAATGGGGGTACAGGGATTGGGTAAACACTTCTTTCCCAAAGAAGAGAAATCAGCCTGTAGAACGAGGCTACAGGCCCAGTGCAGGTCTGAAACACAGCAGGGCAGTCAATTAATCTTAAAGCTCCAAAATAACCTCCTTTGATTCTATGTTCCACATCCAGGACACACTGCTGCAAGGGGTGGGCTTCACTCCATCTCTTGGGCAGATTTACCTCTGTGGCTTTGCAGGGTTCAGCCACCATTGCTGCTCTCGTGTGTCAGAGTTGAATGCCTGAAGCTTTTCCAAGCTCAACATGCAAGCTACTGTTGGATCTGCCATTCTGGGTTCTGGAGGACAGTGGCCTTTTTCTGCTAATTCACTAGGCAGTGCTCCAGTGGGAACTCTGTGTGGGAGTTCCAACCCCACATTTCCCCTCTTCACTGCCCTTGTAGAGGTTCTCTGTGAGGGCTCCACCACTATAGCAGGCTTGTGCCTGGGGACCCAGGCTTTCTCATACATCCTCTGAAATCTAGGTGGGGGCTGCTAAGCCTCCTTCAGTTTTGCACTATGTGTGCCTATGAGCTTAACATCACATGGAAGCTGCCAAGGCTTACAGCTTGTACTCACTGAAGCAGCAGCTCAAGCTGTATCTGGTGCTCATTGAGCCAAAGCTGGAGCTGGAGAGTGGCCTGCATGCAGAAAGCAGTGTCCTGAGGCTGTGCAGGACAGCAGAACCCTGGGCCTGGCCCGTGAAAACCATTCTTTCCTCCCCAACCTCCTGACCTGTGATGGGAGGAGCTGCCTCAAAGATCTCTAAAGTGCCTTCGAGGCCTTTTCTCCATTGTCTTGGCTATTAGCACTTGGCTACCTTTCAGTCATGCAGATATCTCTAGCAAGTGGTTGTTCCACAGCCCCCTTGAATTCATTTGCTGATGATGCTTTTTCTTTCTCTACCACATGACCAGGCTGCAGATTTTTCAAACTTTTATACTCTGCTTCCCTTTTATATATACATTCCAATTTTAAGTCATTTATTTGCTCCTATACCTGAGAGTAAGCTGTTAGAAGCAGCTAGACCACTTCTTGAAATTTGCTGCTTAGAAATTTGTTCTACTAGATACCCCAAGTTATCATTCTTAAGTTCAAACTTATACAGATCCTTAGGGCATAAACAGAATGCCTTCAGTTCTTTGCTAAGATATAACCAGGTGACTTTTTCTCTAATTCCCAAAAAGTTTCTCATTTCCATCTGAGACTTCACTAGCTTGGACTTTACTGTGCCTATCACTGTCAGCATTGTGGTCACAGTCATTTAACCAGTTTTTAAGAAGTTTCAAGCTTTCTTCCATTTTTCTGTTTTCTTCTGAGCCCTCCAAACTCTTCAAACCTCTGTTCATTATCCAGTTCCAAAGCTGCTTTCACACTGTTGAGTATCTTTATAGTAATGCCCCAATTCTCAGCACCAATTTCTGTGTTAGCCTGTTATTTGTGTTGCTATAGAGAAATATGTGAGGCTGGGTAATTTATAAAGAAAAGAAGTTTAATCAGGTCATGGTTCTGCAGGCTGTACATGCATGGCACCAACATTTGCTCAGTTTCTGGTGAAGCCTGCAGGAAGCTTTTACTCATAGCGGAAGATGAAGTGGAAGCAGGCATGTCACATGGCAAGGGTGGGTGCAAGAGATAGCCCAAACATTGAAAATGGAGCTAATACTAACCCTTCTGAAGCCCTTCCAAAAAACTGAAAATGAGGGAATACTTTTGAATTCTTTTTAAAAGCCCAGTGTTATCCTGATACCAAAGCCAAAGAAGCACATTACAAAAAAAGAAAACTACATGCCAATATTCTTGATGAACATAGTGAACATAGATATAAAAATCTCAACAAAATAGTAGCAAACTGAACAATACATTAAAAGGATCATCTACCATGATTAAATGGGATTTATTCCGGAAATGCAAGGATGATTCAACATACACAAATTAATAAATATGTTATATGACATTAACAGAATGAATGACAAAAGCTATATAATCATCTAATTAGATGCAGAAAAGGCACTTGACAAAATTCAACAACATTTCATGAAAAAGACTCTCACCAAGCTAGGTACAGAAGAAATGTACCTTGACATAATAAAGGCCATATATGAGAAGCCCACAGCTAACATTATACCCAACAGTGACAAATTGAAAGCCTTTCATTTAAGCTCTGGAACAAGACAGAGATGCCCACTTTTGCCACTTTTATTTAACATAGTATTGGAAATTCTTGCCAGAGCAATTAGGCAAGAAGAAGAAATAAAAGGCATCAAAATAGAAAAGGAGAAAGTGAAAATGTCTGTGTTTGCTGGTAACACAATCTTATATGTAGAAAACCCTACAGACTAGAACTAATAAATGAATACGGTAAAATTGTAGAATATAAAATAAACACTAAAAACTACATTCCTATACACTAACAACAAACTATGTGAGAAAGAAATTAAGAAAACAATCCCATTTTCAATAACTACAAAAAAAATTTAGGAATAAATGTAGCCAAGGAAGTTAAAGTCTTATACATTGCAAATTATGAAACATTGATGAAAGAAATTGAAGAAGACATAAACAAATGGAAAGATATCCCTTGTTCATGGATTTGAAGAAAATATTGCTAAAATGTCCATACTACCCAAACTGATCTAGAGTTTTAGTGCAATATTTATCAAAATTCTACTATAATTTTTCAAAGAAATAGAAAAATATCTTAAAGTTCATATGGAATCACATAAAACCCCAAATAGCTAAAGCAGTCATGGGCAAAAAGAATGAAGCTGGTAGTATTACTCTGCTTAATTTTAAACTATACTACAAAGCTATAGTAATTAAAACATCATGATCCTGGCAAAACAATAGACCCATTAACCAGTGGAACAGAATAGAGAGCCCAAGAATGCACCCTACATATATGGTCAATTGATTGTTTTCACAAAGTTGCCAAGAATACACAATGGGTAAAGGATAGTCTCTTTAATAAGTGGTATTGGGAAAACTGGATAGCTACATGCAAAAGAATTAAATTGGACCCTTATCTCATATCATATATAAAAATATACCCAAAATGGGATAAAGACTTACGCATAAGACCAGAAACTGTAACATTACTTGAAAAAAATATAACGGAAAAATTGTATTGTTCTAGACAGGGATTTTTTGGATCTGACCCCAAAAGTGCAGGCTACAAATGCAAAAATAGACAAATTGTGATTATAACAAACTAAAAAGCTTCTACATGCCAAAGGAGACAATTATGTTTGCAGAGACAACCTACAGATTGGGAGAAAATATTTGTAAGCCATACATCCAATAAGGGGCTAATATCGAAAATATATATGAAGCTCAAACAACTCAATAGCAAGAAAACAAAAAACCCAAATAAAAATTGACAAAGTACCAGGAAAGGGAGATGGAAGTAAAGTAAAAATAAAAAACGGGCAAGAAACTTGAGTAAACATTTCTGAAGAGAAGACATATAAACAGACAACAGATATGTAAAAAATGTGCTCAACATTGCTAATTATTAGAGAAATGCAAATTAAAGTTACATTGAGTTACAGTGAGCCACCTGTCAGAATGGCTATTATCAAAAAGACAAAAGGTAACAAGTGTTGGTATGAACGTGGAAAAATGGGAATCCCTGTACTTTTGTACACTGGTAGGAATGTAAATTAGTGCAGCTATTATGGAAAACTGCATGGAGGTTTCTCAGAAAACAGAAAAAAATTATCATATGATCTAGCAATCCTACTTTTTGGTATTTACAAAAGCAAATGTTCATTACAGCACTATACACAATAGTCAAGTTATAGGATCAGCCTAATTGTCCATTATCAGATGATTGGAGAAAGAAAATGTGGTGTGTGTATGCAAAGGAATAGTATTTAGCCTTAAAAAGGAGGAAATTCTGTTATTTATGACGACATAGATGGAATTGGAAAACATTAAGTTTATAAGCCAGGCACAGAAAGACAAATAGTACATGTTCTCATTAAATGTAAGATGTAAAACAATTGAACTCATAGAAGCAGAGTAGAATGGTGGTTGCAGAGACTGGGGTAATAGGGAGATAAACATCAAAGGGTACACACTCTCAGTTAGCAGAAATATATTTTGAGTTCTATTGTACAGTGTGATGAAGATAGTTAATAATGGGGTATCGTACATTTCAAAATTGCCAAGAGTAAATTTCAAATATCTTTGCCACAAAAATGTTAAATTTTTTAGGTGATAGGTATGTTAACCGGCTTGATTAAATTATTTCACATTGTATTTAGAAATCATAGTATCACTTTGTACCCCATAAATTTATGCAATTATAAATTGTCAATTTATAGTTATAAAAAGAAATGCAAGGTAAAATAATGCTTTATTGTTTTTCTTCTCCAGGCAATAAGCTTATTCATTTTGGTGGGATTTACAGGAGAGTTCCAAATTTTTTCAAGGTGGGGACTTTTTCTGTTGTGTATAAAAATCATTAAATTAAAAAAAAGTTTGAAAAATTTTTTAGTTTAGTCTAATTTTGTCATTGCAGTTTGAATCTGTGTATCCCTCCAACATATTTTCTCTTTTCATATTTTTTGAAAAGACAATGATAACAAAAATGCTTTCTTTTTATTCTTCTTTTACTTTTTTCCCCCTGTAAAATCGAAGACTAAAAGTGTAAGTTTTTTGTCCAAGTACTGTGGTTTTATCTGTAGTGCAGATAATCACAGTGGACTTATATATCTTAGAGCAGTATTTGGTCTTTAAATGTAATCTTTGAGAAACATCCTCTGGATTTTAAAGGTTGAGAGTTTTTTAAGAAAATAGTTTTATCGGTTCTTGAGGCCTGGAAAAAAAGCCAGCATCATTTATCCAAGGCTTTGTTATGCTCTCACTGTGTCAGATTGACAAGACAGAGCCAGATCAGTTCACTTTATGGAACTATCAGAAAATGTGTCAGGGGCTGTGCTAGGTACTGGGTTTACCACAAGCAGCAAGAAGGCACAGGGAGCATGCTGGGTGATTTGTATCTTGGGTCAGTTCATTGCAATACAAATGTGCCAAGGACTCTGAAAGAAGCCTGCTAAGGGTGATGTGGGGGCACGGCGGGAAGATCAAGCAAACTTCCTCTTCTAAGCCTCCATGTTTTGGGAAGCCCTCTGCCTTTCCCCAGGACAGAGACTAGAAAAATAACAGCAAGTTCAGATTGTTCAAGGGTCAAAAATATCCAGGTATTTTGATCACTGGTACCATATGAAAACCACAGGTTGGCAAGATTGGCTTTGTAAAAGCAGCCGAGGCACACGCTGCAGAATGAGAGTCACTACTTTCAGAGAAACGTGACCCTCTTAAGATACACAAGAACCGTCTTGACTCAAGATACCTCCCAGCCTAGGAATGTGCTGGGAATCCAGAAATAAGGAATACCAGCTCTTTTATCCTTCGTAGAGCATCATTTTAGGCAAGACTTCCTTAATCTCTTAAAGCTGACGCAGGTAGTCTTTTCCATACAACATGGCCAGAATGTGAGCATTGTATGAGTCAACTCTCCATTTTCACATCCACTTTATTTTAGTGCAGCTGTTTAAGCTCAAATTGCTCTCCGTGGTTGGGAGCTTGAAAAATGGCCAAAATGAACGGGGTGAATTTAAATAAATTCCCGTCCATTCAGCCTCTGCCGATTTTTAGTTTCCCACTTCTCATTGGGTCTTATTATAGTTTCTGGTCTCTCAGTTAAGTGTTTCTAGGTAACTCTCCAACTTATCATTCAGAATCCCTTTAAAGACCATAAAACCTTCTTCCTATATGTTTTCCCCTACCCTCCCAACTCAGAACTCTCTCTTATCTATATCCCCATAACACATTATATTGAATGCATTTCTATTATGAAATCCATCAAATGAGATGTATTGTATTATGATGATTTGTTTACCCATCTGTGTCTCTGTTCTTCCTTCTGTCTATAGTCAATGACCTCTCTCTCTCTCTCTCTCTTTTTTTGAGATGGAGCCCTGCTTTCTTGACCAGGCTAGAGTGTAGTGGTACAATCTTGGTGCAATGCAACCTCCGCCTCCCAGGTTCAAGCAATACTCCTGTCTCAGCCTCCCAAGTAGCTGGGATTACAAGCGAGTACCCCTACATCCGGCTAATTTCTGTATTTTTAGTAGAGATGGGGTTTCACCATGATGACCAGGCTGGTCTCAAACTCCTGACCTCAAGTGATCCGCATGCCTCTGCCTCCCAAAGTGCTGGGATTAGAGGTGTGAGCCACCACGCCCGGCCAATGACTTACCTCTTTACAACTCTAGTGTCTTTAGAGCCTAGTAGTACATAATAGATTTTTCTTTTCTTTGAGACAGAACCCTTTGTTGCCCAGGCTGGAGTGCAGTGGCACAATCTTGGCACACTGCAGCCTCCACCTTTCGGGTTCCAGCAATTCTCCTGCCTCAATCTTTCAGGTAGCTAAGATTACAGGCATTCGCCACCATGCCTGGCTAATTTTTATATTTTTAATAAAGATGGAGTTTCACCATGTAGGCCAGGCTGGTCTTGAACTCTTAACCTCAGGTGATCTGCCCATCTCAGCCTCCCAAAAGTGCTAGGATTACAGGCGTGAGCCACTGTGCCCAGCATAATAGATGTTTAATAAGTGTTAATCTCTAAGAAAGTGGGGCTCCCTCCATTTTTATATATTTTAGGATATTTTTAGTGTCTCTTAGAAAAAAATATTTGAGGTAACATTAACTATTTTTGATTGTTTTCACTATTCTTTGTGTTTCATTGCGTATCTTTCTGCCTGCTTTATGATGGACAACTTGACACTGTGGCAGTGCCTCCTCTCCAGTGAACTGCCAGTGGGACTCGTATGCGCCTTGGTCAGAATGCAATGGCTGTACCAAGACTCAGGTAGGACCATGCAAAACTTTGTATTTGATTATTTATGTTTAGAAATACTTAGGCATGGCCAAATGGCATTAACTTTTGAATGTTCATTAAACAGTATCAATGTTTTTTGAAAACTATATTAGCAATTTTGAAGGGAGAAAAGTATGACTTGTTTAATAATATTGTAATAAAGTAATTTGTATATTCATTTTTCTTGAAGGACTTTTCTAGATCTTATCTTGGAGCTAGAAATGTGTATAGGCTGAAAGTTCAAGGCAATTTACTAACTTTTTAACTATGCGAAAAATAGAAATAACATAGAATGAATTTTTTTTGCTAATTTAAAATGCTTTATATTCATTGAGTTCAACTTTTCTTCTCATCTCAAACTAACACTAGCAAATAGCAAGATGGCTGCTTGATTTTTCTTCACAAATAGTGAACAATCATGAAAAAAATTTTGCAAAATGTTTTAAAGTTTAATTGCTAAGTAATACAAATACAATGTTGAACTTAATCTAGATATTATAAAATGCTTCTTAAAATGTCTGTTTTAGGCCGGGCGCGGTGGCTCACGCCTGTAATCCCAGCACTTTGGGAGGCCGAGGCCGGTGGATCACGAGGTCAAGAGATCGAGACCATCCTGGTCAACATGGTGAAACCCCGTCTCTACTAAAAATACAAAAA